GAACTAACATGTACAACACATAAACACAACAAATGGGCCAATTGGAAGACTACTTGCTTGCCAAGGCCCACTTCCATTCATGATTTCACTAGCGGCTCATCCTGGAGCTGCTAAGAGTACAGGTGGACCATTTCCCATGCAACAATGCGCGTTGGAACATTGTGACACCATCTTCCAGCAAACAGAAATGTTATGTCCATACTGCACCATCCAAAAACTGATGTAATTTGATGTGCCCCCGTGCAAACTATCATGGAACCTGAGAATTGACCGATGGAAGACCATGTTCCTCTACAACCTGGTGGTTTTGGGGTTCCATGTTGATCCGCAGGGGGATAATCCATGTCCTGTTGTTCTTGAGTTTTGGAAGTGTATCTTCTGCTTAAGAGTGACATGTCTATATGCGAGCCTCATGATATCGGTCTGACCATGATCCCAGCCAAGGTCCAGGCCATAGCCGGAGTCACTCGCTCCTTGCTTCCTCTGGTGAATCGTGCATCTCAGCGCCTATCTTACTGGTCTGATTGAACTGTCCGGGAGGTCATGCCGTCTGCTGTGAGAAAAACACAAAATGCAGCCTGCAAGAATTCAAAACTGTCGCTTTGGTGACGACATGTGACGACGCAACATCAAATAGAAGGAGGCAATAGTCACAACTCACTCGGGCGTTGTCCTCCTGCAAATGATGCAAATGGAAGAAGGCACCTCTCCGTGGCGAAAATTGAGAGCAACGCGACTGGATTGGACATGAGGTGGGCCAACTCCCAGCCCACCATGGAACTTTGTTGCAACGCTGAAGAAGGAACTCTACGTTGAAATATGGTTATTAAAAAAAAACACGTATTTAAATCAATGTCTTTTGGTTTCCATCACTGCCATGGACGGACGTTCAGCTGTCCGACCTCCTGCTTGTGTTTTGCACAGATTAACCGGTAAGAACAATCAATCCTGTTTCCTGTTGCGCGCAAAGAAATGTTGCAACTCCACCAGTTCTTTCTCGGTTGGTTCCCTCAGCCTCAAAAGCAATGGTGCCATGAAACCGGACTCATCCAAACCCAAATTTTTAAGCACTGCATTGATGGGCGTGGTGGCACAACTTCGTTGTTTCCTAGTGCAATGAACAACGAACCCCAAACTACAAATAATCAAAAAACATTGATTCATCCCAACAATCAATCAAAACTTTCTTTTCATTAGTGTTTCCTTGGTACTAGGTGGCCTTGCTTCCCAACCATGGAAACACTGCAAACGTTCCGAAAATTCATTGAAAACCATTAAACATCAGGTGAATGTGGAAAACAATCTTTTTCGGGATCTCAGCGCCAAGTGTTTTGAGAGTTGATGCCACCAATCCCTACGGTAGGGATCCCTAAAAACGCACCAAGCTGGCTTCATGCCAGCCACCACCTCCCAAGCTGAGCTGCCACACGCGAAGCTCGCCAGCGATCCGAACCGCTTCATCAATGAAAACCTCACGATGCTGTTGGTATGGCTGGGTGGCTGCCAGTCGGCTGTAGGAACA